TATGTTAATGATGTCAACAAAGTTGACAATATTTGGGTGTCTGAGTGCTAACAGGTTTGTCATGTCAGACAACATCTCTTCCACGTCTACGTCGAGATCGTCCTTCTTCTTCAGTTTAATCACTTTGCAGGCCATTAATACCGGCTGTCCCTCATTGTCGACCACAGTCTGCACTTTCCATACTTTCCCGAAGCCTCCCTCACCCAACACTTCCAAGAACTGGATGTCTGACAGCCTTTGGCCCGACTTCTTCAGAAATTTCAACTCATGTCTGAGTAAAGGCTTGTCGTCGGGAATCTCCAGCTTATAATCCTCTCCAATGTTCTCATATTTTTTCCAAACTTGTGACCAATTGGCCGGACCTCGAATTGGGAGCTCTTCAAGTTTGGCCGTTTGAGATGTGCCTTCGCTTGGGTCCCATAGGTCTGGGTTGACACCTAAGCCTTTGCCATAGGGTGCATAAGGGACCGCAGTTTCACGACCCTCTTGTTGATCCTGAAGGTATTTGGCGTAGGCTGACCTCACCCTGTGTTTAGCCCGCGGGACCACTTGTGGCGACTTTGGTTTGTCCTTTGGTTGTCTTCGGAAGAACTTCGGAAGGAATTTCATTTGACTCACAAATTGTCTGAATCTGCGGTTTACTAATCAAACAATTATTGAGAATAAAAGATTTGAAAGTTTTTATTTTATATTTTGTTTTCAAAACATCAAAAAATTAATGCTAAAGATATTCGTAAGAATAATCATAGGATATGGTTATGACTCTTAACTTATCGCTTAATTTTCGGGTAAAAATTAATTTGTTTTATGAATACTTCGCATATGATTTGGATTCAAATGATTTTATTTGATTTCTTAAGTCACAAATGAGACAAATATTTGAAATTATGGTGTGATTTGTCGGATCTATTGAAGCATCGGATGGTTCAGCAAATGATTGACTGACACTCTGTTTCTTGGATTCACGCGAATCGTGTGATAGACGAGAGCCGCCATTTCTCGACTGATTGGCCGCGCGATGTTAGCCCGGGGCTCTGGGGCCTGTTCTTAGCCAATGGTCTGAATATAGCAGACCTGAGGTTCCAGCGAAACTGTTCCCCATTCACACAGAAGTTGTATTCACCCATCAGTGCGGCGGCTAAAGTCATGCCCAGGGAGTAGACATCGCACAGCTCGGTATCAATGGACAGCCGGTGGGCCACAGCCATCTCGGGCAACATAAACCCCTCGGTTCCCGTTCCCACCGATTGGGTTGTCATCCTCTCCTCCTCACTGAACAACATTGAGAGCCCGAAGTCAGTCAATTTGAACGCAATATCCTGTCCGACAAACTTGAAGAGTATATTACCCGGTTTGATGTCCAGGTGCGCCACCTTCTTGCTGTGCAAATACTGCAATCCCTTCGCCACCTGCCGGAGCATCTCAGCGCACAACACCTCATCCACACCGTCGGGTTGTCTGTCCATAATTTTGTGCAAATCTCCGGCACATATCTCCATAAATACCAGAATCCTAGCGAAAGGAAAGGCAGTCTTGCGGTCCGGTATGTTAATGATGTCGAAGAAGCCCACGATATTGGGGTGATTGAGGAACAGGAGGTTTGTCATGTCGGAGATGGCGTTGTTGACGTCAAAATGGAGGTCTTCGGTGCCCTCGAGATGAACCACTTTACAGGCGAGGATCTGCGGCTCTGACGCCAAACCTCTTCGTTTATGGTCTTTGACGACCGCTTCCACGCGCCATACGATTCCGAAGCCTCCCCTCCCGAGCTGTTCGAAGAACTCAATGTTTTCTAACTTCTCTCCCGATGTCTTCAGATATTCAAATTCATGCGGAAGTAAGGGAACGCCTTCCGGAATCTCGAGTTTATAGTCCTCTCCAATGGACTCATAGTTTGTCCAAATCTGAGACCAATTGGCCGGCCCTTGGATGGGAAGCAGCACTTCCTCCTCCGATTTGAAAGTCCTTGTGTTTGGGTCCCAATTCTCGGGGTCTTTGGCTGTGGCCATACCATAGGGTGCATAGGGGGCCGGCGCAGCACTGCCCGCTTGGTTTTGCTGCAGGTATTGACCATAATCTGGGTCCACCCGGTGCTCAACGAATTTCGTCTTACGAGGCATTGGTGTGTCTTTTGGTTACCTTTTATATGACTTTATATTTCATACGAATGTCTGACTCTTTGATTCATTGAAACAATTCATTAAAATAAGTTTTTTTTGTGCGAAAAGTAAAAGTTTTATTTCATTTCTTGTTTACAAAAGTATTTATCAATAAATTAATGCTAAGAATATTCATAGGATATGGTTATAGTCTATAACTTATAGGGAATACAGGTATGGCTTATAAGCACTCAGTCTCTGTCGGTGTCCATCAGATTTGGATCAATTGAGTCAATCGGAAACCACGGATGACTGCAAACCCTGTGCACATCCATGCGTTTGACGAAATTGGGCTCAAGGAGGCGACTGAGGAGGTCCTTGAGGTCGTCGGTAATGACATCAGATTGGGATCAATTGAGTCGATCGGAAACCACGGATGACTGCAAACCCTGTGCACATCCATGCGTTTGACGAAATTGGGCTCAAGGAGGCGACTGAGGAGGTCCTTGAGGTCGTCGGTAATGGCTTTGTCCACATAGGGTCTGAGAGCGTACTTCCTGTTCATCTGGTTGTCCAGCATTTTCTTGCGATCGGATTTGTCGAAAGGGTAGTCCTGTTGATCATAATGAAAAGACTGACGCCCAGAGTCCACACGTCAGCCTTCAAGGGATCGTAAAGTGTTTTCCTGACCATCTCCGGGGGGTTATAGCTCGGGGTACCTGTGGTTAGGAGTTATCATTGAATTACTCGTCAATCAGACAATCCATGAGAAGGCGTACCGCAGAAGGTGTCCGACTTCTGCGCTTCCCGTGTGTTGGTATCCATCGACACGAAGCGACTGAAGCCGAAGTCCGTGAGCATCGGATTCCAGTGTCTGTCGAGGAGTATGTTATCTAATTTGATGTCCCGGTGCGATGTCCTCCGGGGGGTCACGAGATTGCGGTGGACTTTAGGCCGAGTGGTGGCCTCTGAGGCGGCAGTGGGCGCACATCGGCTCCTCCTCACCGAAGACTTATCTAATGGTAAACTGCAGTTGTATTTGTTGTGCGCCTCCCTTAATAAGAAGCCATATAAACAGTGAGTGTATACTTGTTTGAGATGACCCTGGTCACTATCACCACCATTTGTCCGTTAATTCGTAGTCCAGTGCTGCCAAAGCTCATGGAGTTGCTGCACGACATGGAAATGGACCCCAAGCTAACTGTATTAAAAGCTAATTTACATCCCGATGACACCCCTTACACGACGTCCCACGAGAGCGAGTCGAGCGGTGCCTCTGAACGTGTCGTTCCCCACGACTACAACCCATTGAATGAGAGTGGGATCGACGACTTGACCACCACTTCCAGTTCCTCCGGTTAACGGATTCTCTCTATTCTTCAGTATTTTATATGTCATTCAATGTTATACTTCCCACTCATATGTCTATCAATTAATAAATAATTAAGTTTTACAAGAATTAAGAGTTAAATACTTTTGTAGCCCAAAAGAGGTGTTCTCTCGTCGGCGTAAAGCTATTCGTCTCCTCATTGCTGTCCACCGGATCTGTTGCTGTCTTTATGTCTGTCTCTGTCTGTATGCGATCACCAGTTTTCGTGTCTTTCCTGTCATTACTTTGAGACTCACTGTCGATATCAGAAGACAACAGTTTAGTTGTCTTTTTGCGAATGGCTGTCCACTGTCTCTGAACTGTCGGTGCCATCAATGGCCAGACTTTGGAGAATAGAACCAAACAATGAGTCCGTCTGTGAGGCCAATGGTGTGTGCTTTGAGTCGGAGTATGTCGTGCCGTATGAACACAAACGCCTTAATACTCAGTAATGCGGCGAAAAACACGGCCAACAGTCCAACGATGACTCCTATTGTTCACAATAGGGTCGACACTCTCTCCCTTCACACCTGTCCTCTCGTCGGTTCTTCCACTTCACGCGTGTCCTCACTGTCGGTGTTCTCCTGTCTGTCCTCTTGTCTGTCCGCATGTCTGTCGCCTGTATTATGAGTGCCGTCGGGAAGGATCGGAGGCTCGACCTCAATGCGTTGCATCAGTTGTCTCGACGGCAACGGCTGTCCATATAGGGTATGACCCCTCTTAGGAATCGACTGTCGGGTTTGGATGGCATCCGAGTATACAGAAGCCATACAATTCGTTGATCGGGAAACGGATCGGGAAAACCCGCCAACACTCAGATCAATGGCCAAAGCAATCAATGCCGACAAAAAAACTGTTTCAAAGATTATTAGTAAAGACTTGAAATCATGTTTGCGAAAGAAAACTACAGTCCAATCGTTAAATGTCCGCCAAATGAATCAACGCAAAGGCGCTGCCCGAAGACTTTACACCAAATATTTGGCCAAAAATAGATATAAATTTGTCACATTAGATGAGGCATACATTTATCTGTCTAACACTGGAGGCCAGAGATCTGTTTATTACGTAAGAAGAGGACAATTAAATGACAAAAACTATGTCAAATTGCGTGAAAGACACCCGGGTGGTTTTATGGTGGTGGCCGCGGTCTCATATTTAGGGAAACTTAAATTAATTAAAGTGGATCCAAAAGTTAAAATTAATTCTGACTATTATACCAAAAATGTGTTAAAACCTGTGTTTAGAGAAATTTCACATTTGTATCATAAGGATGACCACAAGTTTGTGTGGTATCACCAGGATCGAGCGTCCAGTCATTTTTCAAAGGCAACCACTAAGACACTAAATGATTTAACAGCTAAATATGGCATTAATTATATCCCAATCAGTGACATTCCCGTTAAAGCACCAGACATTGCACCCATGGATTTCTGTGTATTTGGACTTAAAGCAAGCCTTATGGCATCATAAGGGCATTAAAGATACCGATGAACTCTGGAAAATGACAAAAAAAAGAGTGGCGCAAACTTTCCATGACCACAATTAAGAGGGCACTGATGAGATGGAAATACCGGTGCCGTTTGGTAGTCCAGAGGAATGGTCGACATATTGAAAATGTCTTGCATTCAAAAAGAGTTTCATTAAATTAATTTTAAATTAATTAAATCGTCTATACTTATAGTCCCCACTCTCTGTATAACATTGTATTGAATGCAAAATATACAAATCTTTGTGTTAGGAAAACCTGCCGGTCCTACCGGTAGTATTGGTGGCAAAATGGGTGGAAGGCGTCTATTATTGCAACCACACCACCTTGGTACTAATTGGTACTAATTGGTACTAATAGCACATATCGGTCTTTAAATGGTGTGAAATGATGTGTAAGATTATACAGCATATAATTTTGAATTACAGTAACTAGATGCATTGATTATAAGTGCTAATTTATAACATTTTATTTGTTTAAAAAAGTGATTAAATATGATTAAAAATATTTCATTTTCATTTGATATTCACTATAAGAATAATTATTTTTACAGTATAGTAATCACTGATTGCTAATCAGTTTGACCTAGGCAGTCAAAAACTCGTACTTTACTTATTCCTGATTATTATCATCAGATAATTCCACTGTTTATCCAGTACAATTCACGGTCATTCATATCCATAGTCTTTTTATGCTTATATGATATGTAATATATTGAAATATTTTGTAGATTTTAATAAAGGTATGACATATGATAGAAAGGACTAATTTAGTAGACTATCGCAGTTATAATCTAATGATTAGATAGCAGTATAAGTTTGAAAACAAATATAAGTGTCGATTATATGCATTTTGTAGATTTTAATAAAGGTATGACATATGATAGAAAGGACTAATTTAGTAGACTATCGCAGTTATAATCTAATGATTAGATAGCAATGTAAGTTTGAAAACAAATATAAGTGTCGATTATATGCCAGTGTTTGCGACAAACAGTTTCCACGATTTGAGTTCATATCGTAATTACAAAGCATTTAAATGTTTGAAACACTGATTCGCTTCCCATTCAAAAGCAATCATTTATTCGAGTTTTTGATGATTTAATGCATTGAATAATAATAATGACTGAATTCATAGCCATTAGTAGTTCACACGTATATAGAAATCGTCTCATTAGACCTAAAGGTAAGGGTTGGCGCCGGACCTCAAGTGACTACTTATATAAAAGTGTATTGAAAAAGACTGCACAACTCGGGTGTCTGTCCACTGATTATAACTCACAACGACTGTTGTTCGCGTTGTGGAAGAGGAGGACAGGGATGGCTGCAAATAGCGATGAATTGTGTCTTCAAATCGCTGCTCGTCTCGAGATTTTGATACAAACTATGTATGGCTGGGATTGTGTGTCCAACCACAGCACCTACACCTCGCTCACTTAGTCCGGTATGAATCCTATTCAATGCACTATAATTGTGATTATGAGCACCGGGTCTAATCAATGTATGTATGCTTTTAGAGACTACAGGCGCCGTATGAATGAGTTGAACGCTAAATGGTTTGGAAAGACTTTAGTCCACCGTTTGTGGGACACTGTCCTCCGGGGGGTCACGAGATTGCGGTGGACTTTAGGCCGAGTGGTGGCCTCTGAGGCGGCAGTGGGCGCACATCGGCTCCTCCTCACCGAAGACTTATCTAATGGTAAACTGCAGTTGTATTTG